TATTTATTTTCTTTTGTTTTTTGCTTTATTTTTAATTCTTTTTTATTTTAGTTTTAGAACAATTTTAAACTTTCTGTTAGTGCCATTAGTTCTCAAATTTGAAAACACTTTTTTTTTGTTTTTTTTGTTTCGTGCTTTATTTATTTTATTTTGTTTCTACTTACAACAAAATACTTATTCTTGCTATTTTTATTTTTTTTCCCAGATTTTTTGTTTTGTTTTCTGCATTATTTATTTTCTTTTGTTTTTTGCTTTATTTTTTAATTCTTTTTGCTTTTAGTTTTAGAAAAATTATAAACTTTCTGTTAGTGCAATTAGTTTTCAAATTTGAATACACTTTTTTTGTTTTCTTTTTGCTTTATTTATTTTATTTTATTTCCAGTTTTTTGTTTTGTTTTCTGCATTATTTTTTTTGTTTTCTGCATTAAAGCATTTCAAATGAACTCTGAAAAAGTTGAAAGTTGAAAGTTGGCATGGTATCACGAGGGCCGAACCATAAGACTAAAGAGGGGCATTTGTCCCGTTTGGAGCCACCAACCGGTACCAATGGACCCGTCTAATTACTTATTTATTTTCTGCAGCTGTTTTTTAGTTGATTCTTTCTGCAGCTGTTTTTTTAGTCCCACCTCGCCAAGCGAGAGGCACTCGCAGCTGTTTATAAGCCATGAGTGCAGAGACGATGAAGAAGAGGCTCAATGCTCACCTGCACGTTGGTTTGCTTCAAGCCTTGAGGAATAGGGTAGACTGCACGGAGTTATATGTAGTCCAGTTTACACTATTCCGAAAGGCTTGAAGCGAATTAACTAGCATTGCGCCTCTTTTTTTTAATGACTTATTACCACACATAAATAAATAGAAAAAATAAATATAGCAGAAAAGAAAAAAAACTATATATAAAAAAACTACTCAGAAATAAATAGAAGAAAAAATAGTTGTGATTAACTATACTAAAATCTTTTTTATTTTTAATGACTTATTACAACTCAGAAATAAATAGAAAAAAATAAATATAGCAGAAAAGAAAAAAAACTATATAAAAAACTACTCAGAAATGAGAATAGATGCGCTTATAGAGAAAATCCAACCTAAATTCATAATAAATTTCTACTAACTTCAGAGAAATTCAGTATGAATTTAGGTCAAATTTCCTGTATAAGGGCATCTATTTTCATTTTGAGAGGAGCTCAACAAGGCAGAGAGGGAGGGGCTTATAAACCGGTGTGAGTCCCCTTCGGTTGGCGAGGTGGGACTAAACTCTGGCCGCAACGAGGACCAACACTTTAGTCTCGATTGGTGGTATGAACCGGGACTAAAGGAAAACCTTTAGTCCCGGTTCATGCCATCAACCGGGACCAATGGTGGTGGGCCAGAAGCAAGGCACATTGGTCCCGGTTCGTCCCACCATCCGGGACCAAAAGGTCCAGACGAACCAGGACCAATGGCCCACGTTGCCTGGCCGGCCCCCGGGGGCTCACAAACCGGGTCCAATGCCCCCATTGGTCCCGGTTCTGGATTGAACCGGGACTAATGGGCTGACCCGGCCTGGACCAATGCCCCCTTTTCTACTGGTGAATGCTCAAACAATCAAACTATGCAGGGATATCTCGGTGCCTGCGGAGCGTGCGTCGAGTTCGCCGTGCTAGGAGAAAAGGGATGCAAGGCAGAAGTCTTGTTCGTGTCCTAACGGCTTTGTTGATAGCGCTGGTGTAGGTTCGATCTATAGCCTTTTGCCCCGGTCGGGATAACGGGTGGTGCAGCCCTGAGTGAGTGCTGCAGTAATTAGCTTTTGCTACCTATTATTTCCAGAAACTTGTACACCCTCTGTCATATAATATAAGATGTGTTTAACGGTGTTAGCGTTAGGCCGCGCCTAGTTTGCAGGAGATCTTGTGTTTACTTTTGCACGGGATGCTTTGAACTACTGTCTTGTTGTCAAGATACCGTATGTCATGTTATCTCTTAATACTGGAAACCCACCAATATGTCGGTCTTTTGGCTGTTATTTTCACAAACATGTATGTATTTTGTGGTGTTAAAGCTAGGGGTGCGTATTTTGCTAGAGACCTTCTGTTTACTTTTGCACTGCGAGTCCCGCTTAGGTACAACCCCCTCAGAAAACGTGTAAAGGGCGATATAGATCTTTGTCAAATTATATGTATAAGCCGTATGTAGACGGCCCATTATGGCACACTTATATATTATTTAAAGAAATGATGAATATGCCACACTTTTATATTATTAAAAGAAATAGAGAATTAAAAGGACAAAGGAGAAATCAAACTCACGTCTGTTAGTTGCTAGCCGACACTGTGTTTGGTTCTCTAGCTAAACATGCCCAGCCAGGCAAAAGGATCCTAGCTCATCTAAGGCATAGCTCATACGAGCAACGCTACTTGTTTGGCTTATTTGCCTAACCTCGACTAAACCACGATCATAACGGTAGTTACACGCTTAATATGCTTGTGCTCAATTCTTGCCGACGGAGGCGAGCCAAATCGGCTCTCCTGTCCGGGCATGGATTTTCTAGCTCGTGTAGGCTAGTTTGCTAGACAAAGCTAGCATTTATCTACTCCACCAAACAGCCATCCTGGCTGGGCGAGGCTAGAGTCAGGCTTGCTTGAGATCCAAACGCACCCGCGTATGTTTGATTTTTGAAAGAAGGTGAGCTACCTAGATTCCTACCATGGGCATGCCCACCTACCGGCAATAGTTGGGGTCATTTCAAGGATGTACCAAAATAAGACCAAGTTGAACCGAGGGTGTTCGGGTAGGCCAGAATGCTCTGTCTAAGAGCGTTGTTTCTAGACATCCTTGAAATACATCATTTTTTTCGTGGCCTTGTATGACCAATTCAAGGCACCAGGGCAAGTTGTTTGGGTTTTTGACATGTTTTGAATTTTCTAAAGTTTTTTCAGTGAAAAGAGGCCGATAAATGGATGAACGTGTTGCAACGTACATGTGGTGTCGGAAGTTGTTCAAACTAAGCGTGCATGCCTAATATGGGCATGCCCACCTGCTTGGAAAAGTTGAGTTCAGTCTTATTATTTCTAGAAAAATATCATGTTCAACGGAGATTGTCGGATAAGCCATAAGAGTCTGTCTCGGAGCATCTCGCTTCTCGACATTGTTAACAAATCCCAACAATTGATGAAAATTTTGAACAAAAATTGCAAACCACATACTACTTTTAAAAATTTATCAACTTTTTGAAACAAAAACATTTCTTAATTTGTGAACAAAACATTTAAAAACATAAACAAATTATTAAATTCTAGAACATTTTTAAAAATTGTGAACAATATTTGAAACAAGAATATTTGCAGGTATTCTAAACATTTTTTAGAAAAAATAATAGATTTCAAAAATAATAATAAAGTTCAAACAGGAGAAAAATGAATTAACTTAAAAGAGAGAAGAAAAACAAAAAAGTCGAAAAAATTTGCTTAGGCCTTGGCCCAACTAGGCGACGACATCGCTCCCGTCGGGCTGTTCCAAGAGTTCATGAAATTTAAAAAAGTTCCATTAATTTAAAAAAATGTTCACAAATTTTAAAAACAAACACAAATTTACTGAAAAGGTTCACTTGAAAAAGTTGCAAAATAATTCCAGAAATTTAAAAAGATTCATAAATTTAAGCAAAATTTTGAGAATTTGATATTTTTTTCATTTGAAAAGGTTCACACATTTGACAAAACAGAAAAAACCGAGATAGAAAAAGGAAAAGAATGAAACGAAAAATTTAGAATAAAACAGAACAAAATCCGGTTTAAAAAGGGAAAAATGGAAAATCGGAGAACCGGCTCGCCCGCCTCAAGTAGGCCGCGCCCTATTACTTTAGCATGATCCCAATCCTACTGTACTGGCTAGCTTCTTTTCTGCCAACAGATTCGCTTAAGGCCTCTCGCAGTGATCCACCTTATATGGGTGGTAAGCCTGCCATGTAGGCGAAAATTCTGATGTGGCTTGACAATTAAGAGGAGAGAGATGGGTTTGGTGACCCTAGAAAAAACCAACGCCAAGTGTGGGAACCTAGGCAAAACATTTAAATGCAGCAAACTCATCAATGCATGAGAGAGTTTAGTAGCTGAGTCATTAAATGTAGGGAGCTTAGATACAACAAGTTAAGCACCTAAGGCCCCTCCCAATGCTCCACCTTGTACATGTGCTAAGCCTTTCATGTAGGCAAAAAATCTGATGTGGCAAGTTATTTAAGAGGAGAGAGATGAGTGTGATGACCCAAGAAGAAACAATGCTAAGCGCGTGAACCTAGGCAAAACATGAAGAGCTTTAGTTGCTAAATCATTAAATAAAGCAAGCTTAGCAACCATAAGCTAAGCATCTATGCATTGGGGGGTGTAGTTGCTAAGCTATTTAATGTGCTTAGCACCTCAACTAAACACCCATGCATTGGCAGCAGCCTTAGGGACTATGGTTGCTAAACAATTTAATGGGCTTAGCACATCATCTAAGCACCTTTGCATTGGAATGATTAGGAGCAGTAGTTTTGACTTGATGGGACAGCCTGCCTGCTAGTAGTAATTGTTTTCTAGCGGTAGAGTAGTCGCATGCATGATTAGAAGATAACAATGCATGATACCGAAGGGATGCTAATTATCTGGTGGGACCTACTGATGCATTGCTACGCCCGATCGCCACGCCCGTATGCGAGGTCAACGCCACGCTCCTCCGATAGTTGGCAGCCTCCTCCGATGGGCTTCCGCGAAGCTTCCTAGAAACAACGGAGGCATTGCCCGTTCACACGCAGACTCGGCAGCAGGCCAGCGACAACACACCGCGCTCCTCCGATATTGCCTAACCCAAGCGTTGACCTCTCTCTTCTCTCCACCACTACTCCATCCAACACCACCAACCATGGCGCGACTGTAGCGGCTGCCTCTTCTCAAGGGAGGCAAAAAGGAGATGGCGGGCGTGGGGGCCGGGACGGGGAATTGGGCTCTGTCATCGTCAAGCTCGCCACCCTGCTCGGCAAGGAGTACACGATGCTCAAGAGGGTGCGCAAGGACATCGCCTTCCCTGAGCGCGAGCTCCGCAGGATGCAGAACCTGGTCAATGCTCTGGCCGACATGGAGGTGCTCGACAAGGTTGCCAAGGACTGGAAGGGCAACATGCGGGACCTCAGCTACGACATGGAGGAGTGCATCGACCAGCTCAGCTTCCCCAAGAAGGCTGCACGCCAGCTCAAGAAGCTGTTCGCGCGCCATGACAGCCGCACCCAGATCAAGGAGCTCAAGGACCGGGTCAAGGAGGAGGAAGAACGGCGGCTGAGGCTGAATCTCGACAAGTATGCTGCAATTGGGCCAACGAGGCCCGTGGAGATAGATCCCCGGCTGGCTGTGTTCCACGGGGTGGCCAAGGGCTTGGTGGCCATTGACGGCCCCAGGGATCAGCTTGTCTCTTGGTTGACGGAGGTGAGCGTGGAGCTGAAGGTGGTAGCCATTGTTGGTGGTGGGGGGCTGGGAAAGACCACCCTTGCCATGGAGACCTCTCGCAAGATTGGAGAGCACTTCCAGCACAGAGCTTCTGTGTCCGTGTCACGCACCCCTGATCTCGAGAAGCTCTTGAAAGATGTCCTTTCTCAGATCGACAAAGATAAATTTAGGGAATGCCAGTCCGAGAGGTGGGACGAAAAACAACTAATCCGTGAAATCCAACTGCTCTTGACAGGAAAGAGGTAACTCCTTCCCTCTTTGCAGACATAAATGCTACTGTAGTGCAGGTCATCATATTTGCGTAAATAAGCTCAACTAATAGTGTAACATTGTGATACAGGTACTTTCTTGTTATTGATGATGTATGGAAAGAACAAGACTGGAGATCTCTCAAAGCAGTTTTTCCTGACAATTGTAATGGCAGCAGAATAATTATTACTACACGCATTGCCAATGTAGCTAAGTCAAGTTGTTCAAACTCTGGTGACCACCTCTATCAAATGCTACCCCTCAACAATGTTGATTCCCGAAGATTGTTCCTTCGGAGAATTTTCCACTCCGACAACTCTTGCCCTCCTCAACTACAAGAAGTCTCAACTAGGATCCTGAGAAAATGTGGTGGTCTGCCATTGGCTATAGTTACAATTGCGAGTTTGCTGGCCAATAAACCTCAAAACCTAGATGAATGGGAGAGACTCCAAGGTTCCATTGGTACTGGTATTTCATATGAGAGTGATGATGGAGGAAATGGTATGAGACATATATTGTTACTTAGTTATTGGGATCTTCCACACCACTTGAAGACTTGTTTGTTGTACTTATGTATATATCCAGAGGACAAGTATATCCCGTGTGAAGAACTAAAAAGGAAATGGCTAGCTGAAGGATTCATTGCTACAAAACGGGGAAACGTGTATCAAGAAGCAGAGAGCTGTTTTAATGAACTTGTCAATAGAAGCTTGATTCAGCTGGTTTATGCAGATCCTCAAGGTTATGGTTTTGACCAATACTGTCGAGTTCATGATATGGTCCTTGACCTCATAATATCTCTGTCAGATGAAGAGAATTTTGCCACTATTTTAAACGCTGAATGCAATTCTTTGCCAAGCAAGATCCATCGAATCTCCCTGCAATCTAGTGGGAATGAACATAAAGGGGCAATCCAATCAATCACAAGAAGCAAGTTACATGTTCGCTCACTAAATGTGTTCGGAGAAAGTAAGCAGATACCCCCACTTGAGGACTTTCAGTCTTTGCGTGTGCTTGATATATGTGGTGAGTGGGAACCGGAAAACGAGCATATAAGAAATATTGGAAGTTTCTATCAACTGAGGTATTTGAGAATTAAGTCTAGAAGAATCACAGAGCTTCATGAAGATATCGGAAAGCTACAGAACTTAGAGACTCTTGATTTGCGGGGCTCTATAAAGATTAGAGAACTGCCATCAACTACAGCCCGACTACAGAATTTGGTGCGCCTATTTGTTTCCTGTAGTTGTGTGTTGTCTGCAGATATGTTTGGCAGCATGAGAGCCCTAGAGGAAGTGGCAGATATCCATCAAACTGACAACCCTGAGAAATTTGTGGAAGAACTTGGACATCTAACAAAATTGAGAAAGATCACGATGACTGGTTCATGGACTGAATGCTATAGAGAAAGACTGAGGTCATCTCTGAATGCCATAGGCAGCCTTCAACATCTTCATACTCATGCAGTAATAGGAGAATATATGTTCAGGGATCCATGCTGCACCTTTCCGCACCTCCAAAATCTTAAACTAGAGTACCCCATGATGAGGTTTCCCAAGGGAATGGCCTTCCTAACCAACATCCTCAAATTAGACATAGAAGTCTATCTATTTGATGATGAAGATCTCCGTATTCTTATGGGTATGCCTTCTCTGGCTAATCTCCAGCTAATAGTTTCAAGATCAGGTGGCGTCCTGACTGTAAGTGGTAACGGATTCAAGCTGCTAGAGGTGTTCCACTACACAAATCAGGCATACGAAACAACAGGTATAAAATTTGAAGCAGGTGCGATGCCAGCACTCCGATGGCTCTATCTTTACTGGAACAATTGTGGTGTTCCGTTAAGGAATAATGAGAACACTGGCATGGGCTTCGAGCATCTTTCAAACCATGCTGACCTCCATGTCGAAATTAGTATTTCTCGTGCAACTCTGGACGAGCTGGAGACTGTGGACTGTTTCGTCGAAAAAGCAATCGCTTTGCATCCCAACCGTCACAATCTTCAGCTCCGTCTCAGCTACTCTTCCTGATCAGCAAGCTACTCTTCCTACGCAGCAGCAAGAAGAGCATCTGATGTGAGCTACACGTTTGTTTGTCCAACTCTGTGATCAGCCACCGTATTTATGTATTGCCATGTGCTGTAGCTAACATTTTGTGACATTGTGTGTTTGTAATAGGGTTGGTTTGGTGCATCAGGTTTTTCGTCCCATAGTTTGTATTCCAGAACGATTACAGACAGTGGGTTTTCCTGATGCGCATCGAACCTATAGTCTACTTTCTTCTTCTGTTTACGGACTTATTGATGTTTCCATTTTTCAAGTTTCTCTTGCCTGTATCTGGATGATTTGAACTATTTATTTGAATCTTATAAGGTAGTGTTTGGAGAAGGCAGGGTTTTTATGTTTCAGCAATCAACTTAACTGAACGGGCTGTAGCTGCATGGAAATGGCTGGTTCAAATATCTGAATTTCAGGGCACCTTGGTCAATAGCTTCAGTTTGGTTACAGTACATTATAGTATACTAGCTGAACTGTTTGATGCTGGTATATATATGTTGCTACATTGATATTTGATTGGTACTCTAGCTGGGAAGGCGGGCGGATGGTTTGTGTGGTCTAGCTGTAGATAAACATGGGTGTTCAAGTATCAGGCTCAGGCCGATGGATTTTTCCAGTACCAGGCGCAGGGCGCCAGAGGCTTTGGGCCAGCCCTCATGAAGCAATATTGTTGCCTGCCGTCGTGGCTCGTGCAAAACCAGCAGTACGTGTAGATAAACATCGGTGCTTCAGTAATGAGGCTTAGGCGGATGGATTTTTTCAATACCTGATCGCAGGGCGCCAGAATCATTTTGGCCTGCCTTTGTGCTCGTGCGATGCCAGGTAAGCCTGCCCTGATGAAGGCATATAAAGCAGTCATGAAGAAAGAAATAACAGTAGAGCAAGTTGACCGTTTACCTGTCAGGGAAAATATGTAATGGCAGAGAACGACCAATGAAAATAAGTAACTCAAGCTCAAATTAGGGCCAAGCTGACGTTTACTCCGAATCATTGCACAACGCAGTTTCTAGGCGAGGACTGAACATAACGGCAACGGGCTTTTCCACTTCCAGAGCATTGTTGGAGTATGGACTGAACTCTATCGAGAAAGGCTGAGGTCATCTCTGAAGGTGTTGGGCAATGACAGCCTTCAATATCTTTTTACCCGTGGACAAATAGGAGAATGTCTGTTCAGGGATCCATGCTGCACCTTTCCGCACCTCCGAACTCCGAAGTCTTAAACTAGTGGGCCACATGATGAGGGTTCCCAAGGGAATGGCCTTCCTAACCAATATCATCAAATTAGACATAGATGTCGACCTATTTGATGATGAAGATCTCCATATTCTTATGGGTATGCCTTCTCTGACCAATCTTCGGCTAGAAGTACTGGGGTCGGCTGGAGTGCTGACTGTAAATAGTAACGGGTTGAAGCTGCTAGAGGCGTTCCACTACACAGTTACTACAGAGAAAACAACAGGTATAAAATTTGCAGGAGGTGCCATGCCATCACTCCGATGGCTCTATCTTTGCTGGAATGCCCGTCATTTTCCGTTCAGGACTAGTGACGGCGCTCAGGGTGGACACGGTCCGGGCCGGTCCGGTCCCTGACCGAGCCGTCACTTGGACCGGCCGCCGGCGGACCGAGCCGGACCGGACCGACCAGTCTGGCGGTCCTGTTTCTAGGGCCCGGACAGGCGGCGGCAAAGCCCGGGCATGACCTGTGAAACACAGAAAAGAAGATTGGATCGGCGCACCCAACATGGTGGCCTTGGGATGTATTTATAGGGTCCAACTAGGGCACAATATACAGGTAGTTACAGGAGATAAGTACGAATATAAACAGACTCCTATATACTAACAATATACAGTTTAACACCCCCTCAATCTGAACGTCCTTCAAGAAGATTCAGATTGTATCTATTCGAGATAAAGGGTGCCTCAGCAAGTGGTTTGGTGAAGATGTCAGCAACTTGTTCCTTGGAAGAGATGAACCTCACATCCAATGCTTTGGCTGCAACCCTTTCTCGAACAAAATGGAAATCCACCTCTATATGCTTGGTTCTGGCATGAAACACTGGATTTGCAGACAAGTAAGTGGCACCCAGGTTGTCACACCACAATACTGGAGGTCGTGGCATAAAGACTCCAAGTTCTCCAAGAACAGACTGAATCCAGATTATATCAGCTGTGCCATTGGCAATGGCTTTGTACTCAGATTCTGTGCTGGATCTTGAAACGGTGGCCTGCTTTCTAGAGCTCCAGGAGACAACATTGGGACCAAGAAAAACTGCAAAGCCTCCTGTAGACCGGCGATCATCACTGCACCCGGCCCAGTCCGCATCAGAGAAGCAACTCAGCACCATTGAAGGTGACTTGCGAATAGACAGACTCATACCACGAGTATACTTTAGGTACCTCAATATCCTTTTGGCTGCTGAAAAATGTGCAGTTGTTGGTGCATGCAAAAACTGGCAAACACGATTCATAGCAAAGGAGATATCCGGCCTAGTCAACGTCAAGTACTGAAGTGCTCCAACTAGGCTTCGATATTTGATGCTGTCATCCTGAGAGAGAGGTGCCCCACTCTCCTTGCTGATCTTCTCACTCGAGGACATGGGAGTGGTGGAGACATTACAATGTTCCATATTGGCACGATGAAGGATGTCGCCAATGTACTTCTGTTGGGAGAGCACAATCCCCTGTGGCGACAACTTCACCTCAACACCAAGAAAAAAATGCAGAGGACCCAGATCCTTGAGGGCAAACGTGGCATGAAGATCGGCAAGTAACTTAGTTGTTGCAGTAGGCGATGAACTGGCAACGATGATGTCATCGACATAAACAAGCATAAACATTGTGACACTGCCACGATGGAAGATAAACAGAGAGGTGTCTGCTTTGGACGCCACAAAACCAAGTTGAAGTAGGCGAGAGCTTAACCGAGAGTACCAGGCTCTGGGAGCCTGTTTAAGTCCATAGATAGCCTTCCGCAGTTTGCACAAATACCTAGGAGCAGAAGCATCTACAAATCCCGGCGGTTGTCGCATATACACCTGTTCTTGAAGAACGCCGTGGAGAAAAGCATTTTGGACATCCAGCTGGCGCAAACACCAACCTCGAGAGACAGCAATAGAGAGAACCAGTCTAACAGTAACTGGTTTGACAACCGGGCTGAACGTGTCATCATAATCGAGACCGTAGCGTTGCTTGAACCCTTTGGCAACCAGACGAGCTTTGTGACGATCAACAGTGCCATCAGCCTTGTACTTGACCTTAAAAACCCATTTGCAGTCAATCACGTTGGCATGAGGTGGTGGTGGAACAAGAGTCCACGTACCATTGTGACGAAGAGCATCAAGTTCAAACTGCATAGCGGAACGCCACGCAGGAGATGCCATGGCTTCACGAACATCACTTGGTTCCCGGGAGGCCAGAAAAGCACGCTTGGACGGATCGTAGTTGATAGTACCATCCGTACGATGCGCAAATTTCCGTGTATGATCACGTGTGCATGTTACCATTGTATGAGCAAGAGGTGCAGGAGGTCCAGGCGCAGAAGATCCAGACGCGGGAGATGGGGGGAAATCAGATCCTCCTGGGATCCCGTGCCGCCAGCAGGCGCAGCAGGAGAATCCAACGGCGATCCCGAGGAGGGACCGGACAGCGCCGGCGCTCCAGTCGCGGGAGAAGGCCGGCCCACCGGCTGGCGAGGCGACGCGTGGGCAGCAGCCTGCTGCGGGTCGGGGTGGGAGGGTGCCGGGCCAGTGGCAGGCCCCGCTGCTGAGGGGGACGGGGCGGGCGATGGGCCGACCGGGCCGTCTGCAGCCGCCACGTGGTCCAACTGGGGACTGGCCACCCACGCGCGCCTGGCGCGTCGCTGTCAGCGGAGGCCGCACGATCCGAGGCCGGATCCGCTTCGGATCCTGTGCCCAGATCTTCCTGGGACACCGCACCTGTCACGCCTGGGATCTTCTGCGCCGAGGGAGTCCCTGCATCAAGATTAGACGAAAGCACAGGTGCACCATAGTTCATTTGGCCATGCGGGAAAAGAAGAATGGTGTGTTCTGCGACGCGAGGTGGTATGGGAGAGGCAGAGGGGCTGGCAAAAGGAAAAAACCTTTTCATCAAACGTGACATCTCGAGAGATATAAACACATGATGTGGGAAGATGAAGACATTTATACCCTTTGTGGCGAATGCTGTACCCGACAAAAACACATTAGTGAGATCAAAAAGCAAGTTTGTGTGTGTTGTAGGGGCGCATTTTGGCCAACAGGCACAACCAAACGTGCGAAGAGACGTGTAGTCAGGTTTGGTGGTGAACAATTTTTCCATAGGACTAAGATTGCCAATGACACGACTAGGGAGTCGATTGATGAGATAACATGCCGAGAGATAGGCCTCATCCCAAAACCGTAGCGACATAGATGCATGTGATAACAAGGAAAGTCCCATGTCAACAATGTGACGGTGCTTCCGTTTGGCAGAACCATTTTGTTGGTGTGTGTGTGGACAGGAAATATGATGCATGATGCCAAGTTGACGAAAAAACATGTTGCTAAGCTTCTCGTATTCCCCACCCCAATCAGATTGAACACATAAAATCTTGCGAGATAAAAGGCGTTCAACATGGGCAAGAAAGTCACGAAAAACATCAAACACATCACATTTTCTCTTGAGAAGGTAGATCCACACAAATTTACTATAATCATTAATAAAAGAGACATAGTACTGGAACCCACCAGATGATGTTTTGGTAGGTCCCCACACATCCAAAAAAATTAAGTTCTAATGGAAAAGAGCCTAGGAAACGGGAGCTGGTGTGCTTTGCCTTGTTGACATGCATTACACACATGGGTCATAGACCGACTAGACGAAGCTAGTTTATTGGAAGATAAAACGTGCTGAACGACTTGGGTGGACGGGTGGCCAAGCCTTGCATGCCAATCCTCAGCTGACAACCTAAATGAAGACAGTGCATGATGAGTTGA